TCGTGGAATCGTGTGCCGTCATTATTTTCAGGTACTTTTAGTATCAAAAGTTGCTGGCTTTCATATCAGAATGATAGTATCATGTTGGTATTGTGACAATAAAAAAGAAACAATAGATCAATCAAAAGTGATTTTTATAAATGAGCACGCTATCCAAATTCAACAAAATCAACCCACGCTAATAATTCCCAACCAAATGTCGTACCTCATTTAGTAGCCACAAGTAATCGGCATGCCGCAGCCCGATAATCTAAATATAGTCAATTATGGGGCCTTGCAAGACAAGCAACACAGCTTGCAGTGAAGTGTGATAATGATAAGATGGCCCAATGACTAAGAACATTTATCAATCAAAAGAAGCAGTTTCTCGAAAACAAAAAATCATCTGATGAGGTTAATGAAAGTGAGGAAGAGGATAGTACAACAATTGCCAACCCACCAGTTATCAAACATAGAGGGAGGCCTGAAACCAAATGATATAAATTTGCTATAGAGAATGCACAACGACAACCATATACTTGTCGAACCTGTGGTAAAGTTGGCTATAATAGCACAAGTTGTGAAAAAAAAAAATTTAATGTGAATGCATATGTATAAAATGGTAAGGTGGTAAGGACTTAGAAGAGTTAATTGACTGCCGTAATTTGCATTTATTTATAGTACTTATACTAATAATTTTAGTCTTTAATGTTGTAATATCTACTTAGCTTCGCCGACGAAATTTATATTCAAGGTAAAAAGCTTATCAGAACCTTTGGATTTTGTTGCTAGCAATTATACTCTTTGAATAAGATTTTATTCATTGTAATACACGTGTTTATATATGTGAATCTGAAGTACGCTTATACTCAATGCAAAATAAATATATTGCTACGTATAATATTTGATATACAGTATATGCTTTTTTGATCATCTTTACTACTTTTTATTGAAAGAAATTTAATTATACTAATATATTTATTATGTATACATGATATAATTAAAGTATTTGTCAACATTTTATGCTTCTATTTAAAAGTATGTAAAATAA